TAGATTACCTGTTGTAACTGCCATCAGGAATACTTTCCCTCTTCTCCGTTCTGTCCCCTTTATTAAGCAAAAACAGATCTACGCTATGGCCGCAATCGAGAATATTTCTTACGCGGACGTCCGTTTTAAACTAGGCTACGCCGGGCCTTCGGATTCTTCATATCTTCCCTTAAACTCATCATCTCCCAATGCTTTTCCTTCCCTCTCTCATCGCTTCCGCCTTTCGGTTCAGACATTGACCCCAGAGCGGGGATCCATATGTACCCGTCCTTTTTCGATAACAATCCTTACTGCTCCTACGCTGCTCAGCCGATTACCGGATGACGAACCCACATCCTCTCCCTCTCTCCCCCCTAGCTCCTATTCAATAGTCGTACAGTCTTCCAACTGAGCTTCTGCGGTCTCTTCAATACCCATCCCAAAACGGGTAACAATTTACCTCGGCAGCGAACCGCCACTGACCGGATTACGCCCCCCCCCCTCTTGGAACGAAATTTGCATAACTCATTCCTCTTCGCCTCCAATGGAAGACCTGTTTCCATCTCGACTGATGAAAGTCCCCATGACCCTTTCACAACTTCTGATCTCTCCCCTCCCCCCAGACTCCCTTCACTTCTTCCTATTACCCACTCTATTCCCTATCTCCTCCCCCTATTCTTATAAACTAGTCTTCCCTTACATCTCACCCACCCCCAACCCCCACTACAATTCATTCCCCCCCTCTATTACTCTCTCTCAACCTCACTTAATTGACTCGCAATCGGACGAGACCACTTTTCTCAACGCACTAGCCTCTCCCATTAACCACCTTTCTGGCATAATTCCCCCATCGTAAGAGACATAAATTCAAGCAGGCATACACATCCTCCGAAGCGCTTCAGGATCTTCCAACCAATTTTAACCACAATGACCAACACAACCTCAATTAATAACACTGTCTCTAGAGGACTACGCGTCGTTCATTAGAATTGTAGAGGTGCTCTAAGTAATAAAGGAGATATTGAGAAATTAGGTACCAATTACCCAATTAATAAATTAGGCAGGAGCCATAAATAAAGAAAAAGAAGAAGTATGTATGTATTACACCAAAGTACAAGCTCATTTTTGCTCCTCATTGTACATACACATATGTAAATACTGGGTGTTTCAGAGCACCCGTACCACCCTTTTAAAAGGTAGGGATGTGTTTGTACAAAAAAATGGTTCAGACAAAATTTGCAGGATTTCGGGAGATCTATCTGATGGTGACCTTGAATTTGACCTTGAGGTCGACCTTGGGCATAACTCAAGGTCAAAGTACAAATGTAAACCCTTATTCATGACATCACAAATGAAAATAGCGGAAAATTTTACGTCCGAATACGTTATCAAGCCTAGGTCAAAATTACCCTTAGAGGTCATGTGGAGGTCAAGTTACTTTTAGAGCACCCGTACCAACCTTCTAAAAGATATGGATGTGTTTGTACAAAAAATAGTTCAAACAATACTAGGTATTTACATAGCTATGATGCATCCATCTGCTGGTGAATTTGAATTCTATCTTTAGATTCATTTGTAGTCGTGTACATCGATTTTTAAAGATTCCTAATTATTAAGATCTTGAACAGTCGATGCCGCCTGTGTCAGCATTACCCAAGATGTACCACGTGGAGGTCACAAGGTCGGACTTACACCTCGTCGGGGTGCTTTTTTAAGGTGGTTCCCCTTGCCGTCACCTTTGTTCGTACGCATGTGTTCAGTCTAGATTTTCGAAGTGTCCTCCACATGCATGTATGCAGGCTGTTATTCTTCGTTGAAAATCATCCGTCACCCGACGAATTTCGACAGGATCTAGAGACTGAATGGCTTCTCGAATTCTGTTCTTCATGTCTTCTGAAGTCGTAGGTCGTTCGCGGTATACGAGGTCTTTTATTCTTCCCCACAAATAAAAATCCAAAATTGTAAGATCCGGTGATCGTGGTGGCCAGTTATGTGGACCATATTTACCTATCCATTGGCCGCGAAATATGCGGTTCAGTTGTTGACGAGCAATGACAGACGTGTGGACTGGACATCCATCCTGTTGGAACCACATATTTAGACGTAGTTGAAGTGGAATATCTTCAAGTAAACGTGGGAGTTCGTTTTCGAGTAAATCGACATACAGAAAACGGTTTAGATTTTCTTCAAAGAAAAATGGTCCGACGATATGCGTATCAACAATTCCGCACCAAACATTGACTTTCCAGATACGTTGATGATCGATTTTTCGATACCAATGTGGATTCTCTTGCACTCAATAACGGAGATTATGTGTGTTCACTTCGCCGTCACTTTTGAAGGTGCACTCATCAGAAAACAAGATACTTCTATGGAAAGTAGGTAATTGTTGAGTAATCCAATTACAGAATATC